GCCTGCTCCTCCCTGAGCCACCTACATGCAGCAAAACGGCCCATTGCCACAGGTTGCGGTGCTGGGAGGGAGGGGGACTGGCTGCTAAGCACTCGCCAATTGTGCCATGGGTTCTCCAGCCGTGGAGCTTATGCATGGGCCTTTGCCCTGCTTGGGGAAGGCCTGGCCTGCAGACAGGGCCCCTGCTTCAGCTGTGCGCTAGGAGGCCCTTCAGCTCACGCACAATTCCCAGTGTGTATTAAGCGGCGCAGCAGGCACTAGCAGTCTCAGCCGTGGGCCAGGGCTGCACAAGCACAGACCAAAATGACCATCCCTCTCCCAGCGTGCAAGTGGCCGAGGACTCAGACCGCTCTGAACACTCCAGCACGGTTGGTTTGTGCCATTATTGGCCGCAGGCCTGCCAACGGGAGTGGGGCAGGGGGCTAAAGGGGCCCTGGGACACAAATGGTCCAGGAGCCCCGGGCCCGTTAAATCTGCAGCACGCTCCCCCAGCTCCGCCCCTCCCACCCAGGATCCTGGGTACATGGGGCTGGGTCCCCCCATCTTGCCCAGGGCCCCACAGGTCTGTCAGCTCCCCTGAACGGTGGTAGCTAGCTGAGCTAAACTGTCTTCTCATCTATCGGAAGGTTAAAAATGCTTCAGTTCTGCTAGGAAGCGCCCTGGGTAGGGACTTTCTGGGCCTCTGTCCAAGGGGGAGAACACCGCTTTGTTCTTTAGCTGAGGTGGCTGCAGGCTAATGCCACTGGTGACATAGACTGTGCTTAGGGGCCAGAGTTTGACGCTAATTAGACCCCTAATGACTGTGATTGTCAAGAGTGTTAATTGAAAGGGGAGTTAGGCTCCTAACCTGATTTGGGGCTTTTGACAATCGAGGCACCTAACTACTTTCTAGGGAACCTAAACCTCATTGACACGCTGGGCATCTAACTCCCTTAAGAGCATTTTGAAAAACGTTTGCCAAGACAGTCTGGGGGCCTCCTTACCTGGAACTCAAACTACCTTAACGAGGTGACCCTTTGCCAGCTGTGCCCAATGGAGTTTGTCTCCTTCCCACGCAACTTCCGTCTGATCCTTTCATTTCTCGTCAGACGCCACTGAGTATAACGTGTTAGTGAGCCTGTGCTAATCATTCTGCCACGGGAGATTCTACATGGGCTGCAGCCTGAGGTTCATACTCACGTTTTATTCTGATCTTGCACAGGCACAAACTTTATCTCTAGATCTGCCAACTCTCTAAGCTGCCAAAGTAAAAGTGGAATGAACCTAGAAAGTTTTGTTCTTTTGTGTTTTCACCAGGGCCTTATGGTTAAGCCCCTGCCCTGGGCCATAAGCTAGAAATCAGAGTGCAATTCCCAGTTCTACTATAGACAAAGGTGAAACTATCTCCGTATGCAGCACTCCCGTCTATGCAATGGGGATGATAATACTTCTTTGGCCTGATCAAATTAGAAGTGCTGTAGGGCAGGGCTTTTCTCCTACAGGCTGAACCCTCTAGTCCAGCACCCTTGGGCCTGACCGGTGCTGAACCAGAGAATATGTCAAACCACAGGAGGCTGGTGACATTAGACATTTTGAGGTAAATTAGAGCTAAATAAAAGCACAGAACACAGGAACTAAGACTGGTGTCTGTAAACAAACTTTATGGGACTGTGGGAAACTTGGCCAGGGTCATGCCAAGTAGAGATCCAGCTAACTGAAATCATGCCAGACCACGGATGTTGCCAGACCAGCGTGCACTGGAATAGAGAGGTTCAACCTGTACTATGTATTTGTACCTAACACAATGGCACCTGGTCTCAGGTCAGGAATTTCACGGTTAAAGTAAAACAAATAATAGAATTCTCCATGTAAATGAATGTTTCCCTCGATGCCAGCTGATCCTATCCCTCTGCAATTAGCATGTCCTCTAGCATGCAGATCCTGTGGCTAAATCTAGTAAGAAGCTTTCCCTATGTACTAATTTGTTTTTCCTGCAATCCTAAAGACAAACTAGCACAATAACTGCTAAGCTGGCAGCCACGTCCATGCTAGGAAGGTAAATAATCACAAGGAAGGTAAACAGTCCTGCAGTCTGGAGCCAACATGGAGCTAAGTAATAAAACACTATTCTGTA